CTGGTCTATCAACAGGATGCAATAGTCGGTAGCTGCTTTAAAATTAACTTCGCTATTCAAATCGCGGTCTAAATCTGACCACTCAAGAATAACGTATCAGAGGAAAAGAAAAAAGAAACAAAAGACAATTCGTGTCTTCATACTGAAGCATTCTCAAAACACTAACCCACACATAACAGACGCTTACATCATAAATCTTTGATCATAAATTTTTGCGTTGATGATGAGTGTCTTAATAAGTGGTTGTTTTAATATTGTCCTACAAACCCGAACTGCCGTCACTTACTTTCGCAAATTTCCCTTTTCAAAAGGGCGCCAACATCAGCAAGCCTGTCGACAAAAGTTTGGAAAATTCTTGTACCATTGCCTCCTGTGACATAGTTTAATTCTTCATTGTCGTTGTTATTTCCAATTCCCACCGCAAACACAGTAATATTGTCAGCACGCACTAGAGCTGCTGGGGTCTTCAGCAAGTCATATGAAGACCCGGTGGTCAGATAAACGAGATAATTTGGAACAGCTCTCTGATGGACAGGATCCGAGAACAGATACCGCCGGATATATATCAACGCTTTTCCTGTTTGTCTTCCTTTGTTCAAGTAAGTAGCGTTATATACAGCTTTTACTGCAACTGATGAGACCCGACCGCGATTGAAGTCTAACGCCATGCTCGGTTCGTCTGAGAAAACAACCATTCCAACATGTGTTTCGCTTGCTGTTACAGAGAAAGACTCAGTAAAGCTTGCAATGAAGTCAAGAGTCTTGTTAAAGTTGCCGTCGCCAGACAGTTCTACAGCTGCAGAGGCATCTACCAAGAAGCCAAGATTCATGGCGTGGTGGTCGCAATCTGAAATTTAAAGTATTTATGAAAATATATATGTACATTTCTTATTTTCATCATCAACTTCCCCAAGAATTTTCACGATTAGTATTTTAGCCTCGGCCTAACATGTATTCTCGAGACCTATTGTGCGCTGTAATGCCGAGACGTTTTTACATCTAAAGCGTGCGTGTAAGGCCATAAATCCACATCCTCTGCCCCCTCGAAACCTAAACCTGCCACAGAAGCTACAAATCTCCTGCCATCGTATATAGTATATTGTGATATACTGAAAACCTTGGTCTGAATCTCTTAACATTATTTTCTCATGGACT